ATAGCCGCTAACTCCAAGTCATGTGTGGGGTAGTTCTGCTCGTGGCTCTTCAACTGTCTAGAACCATAAGCTACCACCCTCCCAGACTGCATCAAAACACACCCAAGTCCGTCTTTGGAGGCATCACAATACACTGTGTACCTCTGTCCCCTCTCCGGAACTATCAAAATCGGAGCTGAAGTAAGTCTCTTCTTTAACTCTTGAAATGCTCTCTCACACGATTCATCCCACTGAAACTTGACCTCTTTCCTGGTCAATTTGGTCATAGGTGCGGCTAGTCGAGAGAAGTCCTTGATGAACCTCCGGTAGTACCCTGCCAATCCTAAGAAACTACGTATCTCAAAGACTGACTTCGGCCTCTCCCAACTCATAACTGCCTCAACCTTCTCCGNACTTCGGCCTCTCCCAACTCATAACTGCCTCAACCTTCTCCGGATCAACTGACACACCCGAAGCTGACACCACGTGTCCCAAAAATTTTACCTCCGTAAGCCAAAATTCACACTTGCTGAACTTGGCATACAACTGGTGGTCTCTCAAGATCTGGAGAACAACCCTCAAGTGACCTTCATGCTCCTCCTCAGACTTGGAGTAGATCAGTATGTCATCAACAAAGACCACAACGAACTGATCTAGGTAGGGCTGGAACACCCTATGCATGAGATCCATGAATGCCGCTGGGGCATTCGTTAATCCGAATGGCATCACAATAAATTTAAAATGCCCATAACGCGTTCGAAATGCCGTCTTTGGAATGTCGACATCTCTAATCCTCAACTGATGGTACCCCGTGCGCAAATCTATCTTGGAATAAACCTGTGCCCCTCTCAGCTGGTCAAACAAGTCATCAATACGTGGCAAAGGGTACCTATTCTTGATAGTGACCCTATTCAATTGCCGATAGTCAATGCAGAGCCTAAGCGTCCTGTCCTTCTTCTTGGCAAATAGTACCGGAGCACCCCAAGGTGAAGTACTCGGCCTAATAAAGCCTCTGTCCAATAACTCTTGTAACTGGACTTTAAGTTCTTGCAACTCCGCTGGTGCCATCCTATGCGGTGCCATAGAAATAGGGGATACACCGGGCTGTAACTCTATAGTGAAATTTACCTCCCGATGCGGTGGTAACCCTGGTAACTCATCCGGGAAGACATCCGCATAGTCACACACGACTCGAGGCAGACCCAATTCCTGTCTCTCCTCGTCCTCCAGTGTAAGGCTAGCAAGCCAACCTATCAATTGCCCGTGCCATCGGGAGTCATATACGGCATGGGGTAAGGCATTGTGTTTCTCCCCCTGAAACTTGAAACAAATCCCGTCTAAAGTGTAAGCTGTAACCCTCTTACGCTCGCAATCAATGACGACTTTATGTGCCGCCAACCAATCCATCCCGAGTATGACATCGAACTCCGTCATCTCGATAACCCTAAGGTCAACAGTAAGTTGGGTTCCTTCGATCTCCAACTCACAACCCCGACATATCTTGTCAATACAAACTCTGTCTCCTAGGGGTGAACTCACATACATGGGCTCATCCAGAGTCTCGGCCTCTATACCCAAGTCTCGTAGGCATGATGTAGCAATAAAAGAATGTGATGCACCAGAATCAAATAATATTTTTGTCCATAATCTAGAGAGAAGAAATGTACCCTGAATTACTGACTGATCTGCCGGTAAAGTCTGTGGTGTGATGGCGAAGACTCGCCCCTGGGTCCCTGAAGTCCCGGCCTGAAAGCCCTGTCCCCGGCCTCGGCCCATGCCCTGGCCTGACTGCGGAGTCCCCGCTCGTGAAGTGGTAGGGGCCTGTGCCGTACCCTGAAATTGCAACTGATTTCCCTGTCCCCTGGTGGGGTAGGGAGGAATGAAGTAGGTCTGTGGATGCCCCACTGATGATTGGGACTGAGATGCCCCGTAGCTCTGTGATCCTTGCCTCTGAGGACATTCTCTCTTCAAGTGTCCTGGCTGGTGACAGTAGTAGCATATCCGTGGGCCTCCCTGTTGTGTACCCGTGGAATTCTTCCCGCCTTGGGAAGATTGACCATAACCTTGGCCTTGACCCTGATAGCCTCGACCCTGTCCCTGTGATCCCTGTGGGGTAGAAATCCTCTGTCTCTTCCCCGAGCTAGTAGTGGAGGACTGTCCCTCCTTCTTCCTGTCCTTTGATCCAGCCTCCCGAATCCTCTTGGCATCTTCCACCTCTCTCTCTATAGCCATGGCTGTCTCGACCATCTCATCAAATTCGTGCAACCTGTGGCCAACAATCTTCCCGCGGATGGATAGCTTTAGGCCATTTTCAAACCTCCGTACCTTGGCCAAATCAGTGGCCACGTAGTCATCCGCAAAACGTGCCAATTCTGTGAACTTGGCCACGTACTGCATAACCGTCATCGCTCCTTGCTTCAAGTTTAGAAATTCATGGGCTTTGACTTCCCGAACAGCTGGTGGGAAATATTTCTTCATGAAGAGTTCTTGAAACTCTCCCCATGTCATCCTTCCGATGTCTATCGGCTTTGCCCATGTCCACCATTGATGGGCGTCTCCCTCAAACTGGAAAGTGGCCAATCGTATCTTCGTGGCATCAGATACAATCTCCATAGCTTCCAAAATTTTGTCCACCTGTTGGAACCAATTATCAGCTACCATCGGATCCCCTCCTCCTACAAAAGTTGGTGGGTTGTGGGACCTAAACTTCTGCAGGTTGTTCGAGCCTCCTTGGCCCACATTAGAACTGGCTTGCAAAAAGGTGGCGGTCATCGCGCCCATAGCCTCCATAAAGGCTTGTTGATCGAAAGCCGGTGGTGGTGGTTGGTTGTTTCGTCCACCCCGACGTCCCCTTCCTCTTGTTGCCATCTACACACACATAAGATAGCAATAGACCACTAACTTAGTATCTCAAGGTTAGGGATCAAAGTTAAAACAGTAGAATATATACCTATCGGTAAATGTGCAACCAATAGGCTTACACATCCTTTTCCTTCCCAACTCATGGTTTCTAACCATAGTACCTCATTCCTATATACATTTAATCATGCATATAATCTCATAACACATAGCATGAAAGATTTAATACATTTAACATGCAATACAAACTGGAAGCAATGACTTAAACCCATGCCCTGTAAGCCCTAGGTAAATCGTGAACCTAGGCTCTGATACCAAACTGTGACACCCCAAAGTCCGGGTGTCTGTAATTATCCGATTGGTTATCCATCGACCTGTGTAATACTGGTGGATATCGTGTAATTTGATACCACACCGTTATGCCCCATTTCTTGGGATCCATAACTTAACAAAATTTGGACAGAGTCTCCTTTGTACAAGGAGCTCTACTCAAAACGCAACCTGTACAACATTGACCACACCGGGTCTATCTATCCATTCACAATTATATAGTCTCGAATACTACCATAATCATTATCAGTACATACATTTATTCGTAAAAGAATAAATGTCCCAAAAGAGTCCCATATACATGCCTTTGTAAATATAAACAATGTTTGTTACAAAAATTATACAAGGCCAAAAGTAAGTATAAACAAGGGACTACAATGTCAAAAGAAAAGCCACAGACCGGCTCTGTCGTCAAAGCGGGCCCATGGCCTCGCCTTCGGTGGAAGCCTGTGCGATACCTGAAAAATGTTCCCATAAAGGGTGAGCTAACGCTCAATAGGGTAACTCCTAAAGAGAATACCTCTCAACCTAAATGAATATGGAATGTCACATGCAACGATCATTTGATACATTCATTTAAATATGTCTATTATGATTGAATGTTATAGATCATGTCATGCCATGAGATGAGACTCACGCAAGCAATACCAACCCCGAGCCCCATCCTGAGCTCCCATAACACATGCAATGTCATGCGTATGTATCCGAGCATTCCAAGCCCCCATCATTGGTGTTATGTACACTCAATGCTAATTAATTCATTTTCTTGTGTCTTTGTGGGGAGATGATTTATGGTATTACACCAATGGGACACCAACCATCAACGGATCTTCAGGACATCCCACCTGCGGCTCCGTTTCCGCCGTTACACTTTTTTGGAATTTCACCGCCGGAAAGTGTATAAACCAAGTAAGCGGGTCTTGCACCCGAGGGAGAATTTAGCCCTTCGTGCTGTTCCCAACACATTTATCCATTTAATTTCTCGTGCGACTCAACCGAACCTTGGTGCGACTTTTTCGAGTCCACGTTCAACCACCTACGTGGTGATTGATTTCATACCATGCATACACTCTCACCCATGTCAATGCCCATGAATGTAGTGCAACCCATGCATAATGAAATACAATGTAATGACATTTTAACACGATCTCAAGCATGTTATGTAAGATAATCAACTCAACTAACATACTTGTATTCACCTAGGCATTTAATCAAACACCTAAAGAGCACATCAATTTACACAACTAGCATGCTATGACTTGCAACATGATAACATGTTTAACATAAGCACAAAGTCCACCAAAATAATCATATGTTAAATAATCATTTAACATATATATATTATTTCACAATCATATAACAAGTTAATAATTTTATTAAACTTGATCTTCCATTAAAATATAAAGTAATGCTAACATACAATTAACATGCTTTAAACTACTAACATTAACTTATACTAAGTTAATCACAATAGAATTTTATTAATCACAAGATTAATTATAAATTCTATATTTGACCCACTAGTCAAGACCTAACATGTGATATACACTCATAATCTACTCATTCCATATGTCATATTTTAAGTTGAAATTAAATCTAAATAGGGGAAACCCTACCTCTCGTAGCGTGAGACCACTTACAAGAACGCCAAGGAAGCCCAAATTTAGGTTCCTAAGTTTTAGGTCTAGATTATCGGCTTTGATATACCTTCGAAGAAAAATACGATCTTTGGTGTGGTTGCGTAGCTCTCGCTGAGTAGAGCAACTTTAGTTCTTGGCCCGAAGCGATTAAACGGTTAAATTTTCCTAGATCTGAGAAGGAATAAAAGAGAAAAAAAAATAAAAACTCTCTTTTTTTTTTTCTCACTCTCTTTTTCTCGCCGGCTGTAGAACACCCAAAAAATGGAAGACTTTTATGTTTTTGACCCATAATTTAACAATTAATTATTATTTTACCCTTTTATTTTTATTAGGATTAATAATATATTTTATTTTTTTTTATCGGGTTTTACATAATCACCTGCATAAGCTGCTTGGAGGGGATTTCCACCAGGGTTGCGAAAATGAAGAGATAATTTATGGTACAAAGAGGAGCTATTGAAGTTTTGAGCAGCTACTTTCATGGCTGCCTTCACTTGCTTTCCGATACGAGTATCATCGTTGATGACTGCTCCGATGCTCGTGGTTTTTGTCTGTGCAGATGTGAAGGTTCCATAGTTGGAGAAAATGAGAAGAAAACAAATGAGTGTACACACAGAAGTGAGTGGGAAAGCCATTTTGGTTATAGCCTGGTAGTTGCTAGATTTAATGCATAGAGCTTAGAACTTAAATTATGAGAATGTGGATAGCATATATACACATGGCAGTGCATGAATTTGCTTGGAAATTGCGTAAATGTTACTAGGATATTGAGTCATTGTCATGTAAATCGTAAGTATTAGAAGACATGAGGTTTGTCTGTGTTCAACATACATATTGTAAACTGTGGAATTTTGCTCCTACCTATGGAAAAAATATTCAAACCATAGCGCGTACTTGGGTGGCAGCCGAATACGCAATCTTATGATACAATTATCAAGAGGCTTTGCTTGTTGAGATAAAAGGACGACTATACTCATGAAGGAGGTCAATTCAAAACAATTATACTCTCGATTTGATTATTACTTATCTCTCGAGTTTAATGAACAACCGATAATTAATAGATAATAATTATTTAGAATTTATTTTGTACAAATGAGTTTAACATATAAAAAAATATCTACCTTGTGATTAACAGAAGAGCATTACAAGTGAGTTGAATTTTGTGACTCTTTATGTGGTCCATGAAAGGCACAACTATTAGGACTTGGTCTTGGCTCTTATGTACTGACAACAATATTGTGCCGTGTGAGGTGAGAATAATACGATGAATCTCTCGAGAGATTTCAAGAAATTTACACATGAGTAGCATCGGCAGACAAGAAAATTAAAGCCATTTTAAATCATATGACTTTGGAGGATTGTGAGTGTTTGTCTTATGCTAGATGACATTGCATGACTTGGACCAATAAGAAGGGATCTTGGACAAATGAGAAGGATTTTTTTTCTGGTCAGGAATAAGGATTTTGAAAAGGATATATTTACTGCTTTCATTTTATTTTTTATTTTTTTTAAATCTAGATCAAAAAGCTTTTTATCATACTAATGATGGCTTGTGCATTGTACAAATCGACGTAAAATCTGTTATAGAAAATTATAAATTAACAGAGGAGGAAATGAATAAATTTGAAAATTTTAGTTATACTTTTTAAAGATGATTTTGCAACTGATTGAGATTATTATCAATTATAACATTTCAACAACGATTTCAAATGTTGTGATGTGGTTCATAAATAATTGTAGATTATTTACCTTTAATAATTATATTTTTCGATATTGTGCCCAAAAAAAAATGGGTACTGTAATCGTCTCCATTACCTTTAATATTATATTTTGATTTTTTCGACAGTAAAAATTTCTAGGTGTGTATTTTATTATTTTTTTAATTAATAGTTATGAATTATCTAATTTAAAATTAACGTTACAAATTATTTTTTAACACGATACTGAAAATATCGTAACGTTTAACCCTTCTTAAAAGATTCCAAGAAATTTACGTATGAAATCCATCCGGAGACTAAGAAAATTAAAATCATTCAATCTTACGTCTTTTGAGGATTGAGTGTTTGTCTTGCTACATGACATTTGGACCAATAAGAAGGGATCCTCTATTGTGAATTTGTTAGGATTATAATTTTACAGGGAATAACTCATGTTTAAAGGAATAATTTATTGAAATTTATCTTATTTTATATTATAAAATTAATAATATTTTTATTTTTTGTAAAGCTCAGATCTAGAAGATTTCTTTGATACTAGTGAAATTTTGGCAAGTCCCGTTCTAATCTCGTTCATGTGATCCAGCAGAATTGATGTAGACTAAAATAAAGATGTAGAATAAATGACAAGAATTTTGGTATTTTATTTGAATATGGTTAATGTCATTCAATTTGAAAAATTTAAGAGTTTTTATTGCAATTTTTAATTAAGGACTAATGTCAATTTGTACCTGAACAATTACTTGAATCTCAATTTATACCCTCAAAGTTTAAAACTATTAATTTATAATTGAAAAGACATAAATTCGTATAAATGTACACCTGAGATTAACTATCATTCATTTTGTCGTTAAAAAAGTTTGGATTACTTAAAGTTTAAATATTATATTTATGACCCAAAAATAATTTTTTTCCATTAATGCTCATTAATTAGTTTTCAATTGTATTGTATCATAATATTTTGTGTCATGTTCTAGTCAACAGAAAAATATTTTTAAAATTTTTAAAAAATTATAAAATCCCTATTTTGGCTTAGAATACTTGTTAGATAGCTATTTTTTGTCTAAGTTAGACACAAATCTTTTGATTGTTCGATCAAATTAAAGTTAAATATGAATTAAACAACCGTAAACAGAAAATAGTTATTTAATGAGTATTTTAGGTAAAAAAAATAGGTACTTTTATAATTTTTTAAAAAATATTAAATAGTTTTTTTTTTGAGGGGGAAGGGGATTAAGACTTGAACCCTTGATCTCAAGAAAACAAAACATTTATGAAGACGAGAAGTACTATTGAACTAAAAGTTCATTGGTATTAAATAGTATTATATAAATTTTGCGTAAATGTGAAATATACAACACAACGCTATTAACTCGACACAAAAAAATTGTGTTAAAAATATTTTTTATCGACTCAAACACAACACGAAAATTTATATAATAAAATAGTTAGATGTTTGAACTTATGAGGGATATATTTTTCCCCCCAAATTTCACACACCCATCACACACTTTTCCTCTCAAATTTCACAAACTCAATACAAATACTCTACAACACATAGTTACACATACTCTAATACACACTCACTACACACACATTATATATACACTTCAGTTGTACATACACACTCCAATACACGCAAAGTGTCATAGTTTAATATTCAGTGACTTCAGTCACGGGATATTGCTAGTGATACAATATGACACAAAATAACATCATATACCACAATTGAGAGGTATTTAGCGAGAATTAATGGATAAAATTTTTTTAATCATAAATGTTAAATATTTAAACTTTGAAGGTGCAATTTTAATTATCACAAACTTTTTTAACTGTAAAATGGATAACAGTTAACTCCCGGTGTACATTGATACAAATTTATGTCTTTCAGGATGTAAATTAATATTTTTAAACTTTGAAAGTGCAAATTTAAATTCGAGTGATATTTTAGGGTGCAAGTTGAGATTAACCCTTTAATTTAAATAAGAAATTATTTTATTTTATTTTTTGATTTAATTAAGATTTTATTCTATTTGACTTTTTAATTTAATTAGGATTCTAGTTTTCTAGTTGTTTTAGGGTTTCTACTTATTATATAAACTCTTATAAGCCTTAGGGAAAAATAATTTTTTATTATTAAATACAATTGAGAGGGTTTTCTCTCTCTCTCTCTCTTTTTTTTTTTTTTTTAAATTTTTAGGTATTTTTAGAAATCAATAGATTTATTAAAGCCTTTAGGACTGATTTTCTTTTGTGAATCAACATACCTAAAGTAATAATCTAAATCAATATTTATACACAATCAACTGGTTTTTTTATTTATTTATTATCTCCTTTCGTTCATTATATTCATATTTCTACCCACTTCCCTCTATCAGTTGGTATTAGAGTTTGCAATCTTTCTTAAACCATGTCACTTAGGAGAAGTCATGGTGGTCCAAACACATATGTTAACAATCCGCATGTACATGGTGGTATAACTCAATTAGAACAAGCAGTTAATGAGTTGGCTATTCAGCTTCATAAATTCATGAATGTTTATCAGCGTGTCAAACGTATCCCATCTCATTTTATATATCTAGATTAGCAATGAGTGTAAGGACAGGGAGTCCCATCTCAACATTTAATGATTCGCACTCTTACCCATGCGTAATGAGTATTCTCCACTCAGATCTTCATGCTTAGTTTACTCGGGATATGCCGAGCACTTAGAGGAAGTTCTCCTACAATAGATTGAGATAGTAATCCTCTCAATGGTGAACCTGAAACAACCACAAGGTCAGAAAAGGGGTCGGGTGAACACCCAGCTTATCCCTTCCGAAGCTTAAGTCAATATAAATTTGGAGGCTTGAGCACAATGTATTTCTTTTTTGGTTTTGTCTTGCATACCTTTGTTTATCTTTCTGAGGGGTATTTATATCTATATTAGTAATGAGTGCAAGGACAGGGAGTCTCATCTCAACATTTAATGATTCGCACTCTTACCTATGCGTAATGAGTGTTCTCCATTCAAATCTTCGTGCCTAGTTTACTCGGGCGATAGGGTGATTGCTCGGGACATGCCGAGCACTTATAGCCCTATCCTTGATAATTAAAGCCTTCTGATCGGTGTTGGACGCTTACTCCCAAGCGTTTAATTCCCAGGAAATAGTGCCTCGGTATGAGTCGAGGAGATAAGCTCGGTGCAATAGCCATTAATGCTTTGCAATCATGATTGATGGTTTGGATCTCGAAGATGCAGGGGTTTATTAATGACCCTGTCTCAGTCACTCACATCTCCAAAACTGAGTTGTCAAGTCATCTTAAATACTGGTGTTAGTCTGTGTACTTGGCTCCTCCAAGCCATTACTCCTCGGCTCCACTTCTCAGTGCGTTTTGAGCTCCATAACAGTTACATCTGTACACGTGTCACTCTGGGGACTACTGAGCTACATAAAGTCCCTCCAACCGCCCCCTAGCCTCCATTTTCTTTGCGGCGTGGGACAGGTAGTGCAAGGAGAGTGGTGGCTTGCCAAACATGCCTATTTAATAAGGGCGGTTAGTTGCACCTCTAGCGCCGTAATTTTCATATTTTCCAAATGATGATCTGTCTCCTCGATTCTCGCGTCCTCTCTGGGGTATAAATAGGAGATCGTCTGGCTATTTCCAAACTTTTGGACCTTTGAATTTTTCTCTGCAATCAACTCCCGAGCACTTTCCTCTAATCTCCCGAGCTCCTCTTTTGAAGATCTTCCATCTGTAAGTATCTCTCCTTCCCCCATTTCTCTTCATATGTTCATTCTCCTTCTATATTTCTCCCAAAAACACACATCCATGGCGAGGATACGTAGAACTATAGCTAGGGAAACTGCCAGGGCTAAGGACAACCGTAGGTTGAGGAAGACCGAGGTGAAGGATTCCAACATCCAAGTGTTTAAGGAGAAATGTCATATTGCCGACCCTGTCTTTGTTTTCCCCTTCAACTCCCATTTCCATAGGAAGGATATAG